TTTCTCCATAAAAAAATACTTTGGCACCCCACAGATGACGTTACCACCTCCAATCCGTATCCATCAACAGACATTGCAAAAGAATACCCCTTTTTGTTCCTTGCGATCGACAAAAAGACGCTAACATACGAGCACAATGGCAGCAATACAGAAAAAACGAGATACTGTAGAGACTGGAAGAAAAAAAAGCATCAACAGAGCGAGCCGTGAGGATATGTGTTTGAGAGGGCGCTCGCTCATACTCGCTGAAATTACAGTGTTAAATGCGCATTTTACTGCAGTATACGTAACTACGGGTACATACATACACGTAGCCAAAGACTAAGCACCACCTATGCAGAGAAGGGAAAGAAGAGACTTCCCTCTTCGGAATTTATGACTCCGAGAGCGCGAGTCAGCGATGAAAGTCTCGTGAAGGCCCGCAAGCTGCCGACCCGCATTTTTCCTTCTTACACTCTCTCTCTCAGCTCCGTTGTTTTGCGGTCCAACCATTGTATTTCTCCTTTTTTTTTTTGCCACTGTTGTTGGGTTGGCTGCGAGTACCTGACATGTTGGACTCCATAGTGCGAATAACACTGGCCGCAGAACAGTGTCGAAAGTTAACTACCCATAAATGCTATGTAAATGAAAGTACGCGCAGGCGCGCTGGTGGTTACAATAAAATGCGATAAGTGAAAAAAATGCGGAGATTTATGGAAGAGAGAATAACGCGCTTTGCCGCTCGTATTGGAGTTATAATTTCTACTTTTGTACCATCCGAACAGAGAATTCCATTGATTTAATGTTCGCGCGTAAGAATCCCTCTACTGTCCCGGAAACTCAAAATCGACTGTTCCACATCTTCTTATGCAAGCGTCCCGAGGAGTGACATAAACAACGAGCAAAAAATAGCCATACGTACATGGTATGTTCAGGGTGAGAATGAGCAGAAAAAAAGTAGAATGGGAGAGAGGATACAACAGGGATAACCGGATGGTGCGATATAGCTTGCGTGCGACCGATTGGGTGGACGATGCAATAACGTAAACAGAACATAAACGTTGACGAGAACGACGTGTCGTAACTTGTCGGGATATCGATGTATCTGCACGAATGTTACGTCTACATTTCGTACGTGTATACATACGCTCTCTGCTGTGCGGGTTGTACGGGGTACGGGAGGTATCGTCACGTGGTTCCGATCGTGAATTGCACGTGCACCTTGCAACGATTCGTGAAGCGCGAGAGTCGTGAATACCGGTGCTTCGTTACGCTAATAAAATTTTGATACGGCCCTTACGTTCATTGAGAATGTTTTTTTTTTTTTTATTACCGCTTGCAACGAGTGTGGAGGAAGGGTGTGTTGAATTGGTCTACTGCTGCTGTTGCCGATACAAGCTTTTCTTTACGACTGTATGAACATGAGAGCGATGGATTTTTCGTTGGATTAATTGGTCCTAACAATCGAAATTAATTTTATTTCGCTGGAAAATGGCACTAGTTCCGTAGTAATTTTCTCGGGCATTGAAAATTTCCTTAAATGCATTGTTCAAGCGAATGTTATGTATAAGGAAACGTTCCAGTCCACATTGTCAGTTAGCATGCCTGTATGCAACATTGACAATTAGCACAGTACAGATAATCATTCACAAGTTTCTCGGAAGATGTTATACTAGTAAATAATCTTCGGGAGAAACGTTGTAATGGAAGCTGCAGAGTACAAAAAGATGTCGGTGTTTACCGAATGCTTACACGCGTAAGGATTACAATGCACATACATACATGCATGCAGAACTCGATGGCATGAGCCAAAAAGCTTGCCCGTTCGTTTTTCTTCGTATTGTGTGCATACATCAGTTGTACATGCAGATTTAACGCGTTTCGCATTCGAGAGTCCACACTGCCACGGAGTACTCGCGCCACAGTGATGAGAGCTGTACAACAGCGTAATAACAGTATACAGTAGTGGTATCTTTCCGCGAGCAATCATGAAAAGAGCAGCCCCCGTTGCTGATGTTGTTGTCTGCGCATCCGAAAGTGGCTCTCATGCGTGCACTTTCGCGCTGATGGTACAGCCTCGCACGGCCAATAAGCGTAAAAGCATGGAAACGAGCTGATGTGTTTTGTCTAGCTGGGCTCGAGCGCCGTTTTTCCGAGGCGCTTACATCGATATTTATCTCGGTACGTGCGTGTAATTTTCCGGGCTGTGTGGAGATACAACAGCTTAATCACGGCTCAAGTATACTCGAGGACGCGGCTAAACCATCGATAATAACTGGGCTCTGGGCTTCGTCGATTTCGACAATTGTAATGACTTCCACCGAGCAAAGCTTGCAGAGACAGTGTGTAGCTGCAAAGTCTATACTGTACAGATAATATTACGAATTGAAGGTAATTTTCAAGCGTTGATTCAAGAACGACCATGTGATCAAAGGAAACTTCGTTCACGCTATCCTTTACCGTGACTCACTATATGGCGAACAACAATAAACAAAACGGCCCTGCCATATCAAACCTTACGATCATGCACAGCAGCACGAGAGCTCGGTATGAAGACATTAAATCACGAAAAATTATTTGTTGCGCGCGTACTCGTTTTTCTGGTCCTCTCTCTTTGCGCCCGTGATCAAACGTACAATATGTTAATAAGTCGCGAGAATGGCGGTGGTAGTGGCATGAGTAAACGAGCGAGTCGGCCAACGGGCAACCGATAAACTAGCCGTTGCCCATTATTGTACATCACGCGTGGATTAAACCAAAGAACGGCAACTCTTCAGCGCTCGAGAAACATCTTTCTCGCTCTCACACTCCTAGAGAGAAAGAGAGAGGAGAAATAGAACAAACTTGTCTTCTGCATGTATCGTACATTCGTTTGTTCCCCAGGTGAGACAGTGATTACAGATTATTTGCATGGGGCCCTTTATTCATTGTTCATACGAATGTGTTTTTCGCGAAACCTGAACATCGTTGCTGTCTCATGTATTTTATTCTGTATATGTATATTATGCATGTGAATGTCAGGTGTATATAAAAATAACGTTTTCACTCGAAAGCATTCCCATTGTTTTATTTATTCAACCTCGACTGATAAAGCTCTAAACCATTAAATTGCTAGAAAAACAGGAATTACTGAATTCTCGCATTAATGATTTAATTCCTTTAATTTCCTCCTCGTATACTTTCCCATACTACGCGACCGAGACTTTGTAAATTATTGACGCGGTAGGGGCTATGTAAGTTTGAACTACAAGTACAACGCATGCCCCATACGCGTACATTTCTTTCTTTAGCTTGATACACAGGTATACCTACTATATCTATATACACGTATATTCTTGCTCTCCTCAGCTCCTTTGGCTTCCTCGTCCTTCTTCCCTCCTTCGCCACCACCTCCTTCTTCTCCACGCGAGGCTGCGTCTTTACTTATTGGTTTCGCCATGAGAGGCAAAAAGGAGCTGGGGCTGGCCAATGAGGAGGAGGGAAAGGGAGAGAAGATTAATGCCCCCCCCCCTCCCGAGAAAGGGGCACCCCGGGCTGTACGGCAGCCGTTCTCCTCTCCTCTCGCGTCGCTCCCCCGGGGCCTTGACCGGAAAATACACAACTACACCATTGAAGAGAAAAAAAAGAGCGAGCCACTAGGATGTGCCCCATACATACAGCCTCCGTACTTTCTGCTCTTGGTGGTGGTGAGTTTTTCGGTCGTGCATTTTGTGAGCGATACTTTTGATGCCCGCGCACAAAGGGCCTGTTTTGCTCTCCAGCTTGGCATCGAGCTAAAAAGAAAGAGATGAACGTGCCCCGAACTTTTTGTCACGCCTAGACATAAGCGGCTCTTTGTCCTGCGTGTGTAAATAATTGTTTAAGCGCTTAAAGTTACGAGATTGCCTGTTGTGCGCGTAACAGATTCAGCTTTTGCCTCCTCGAGATGGTTTGCGTGTGTATTTTTCTGTTGACCTGTCGAGCTCGCACGCAAACTTGTCTCTGAGCCTTTGCAGGAGTATCTATATTTCATCCAGATAAATTGGAGCGTGCAATGAATTACACTACAAGTTGTAGCCTATTTTATTCGCTGCATTCTCCAAAATATTGACCTTTGGTTTTTTGTATTCTTCCAGTATGAACACTTTTTAAGCGATTGTTTTTTGGTAACTGTCAGAAGACGGCGTACGAGTGTTTTCCCGTGAATCTATTTTTTAAATGAATTTTTATTTGCCCCAACGTTTGCCTAGTATGGATTTTTTCTTCTTCAAGTAACTTTTAATACGATTTCGAAGTATTGTTGCACTCGTCGTACTAATTTGGAGTCTATTTATAATTTATTTTATCACACTTAGATAACGCAAAAAAAAATTAACTCGAAAAGCACGCTTAGTATATTGGTTGAAGCAAGAAAGCTTGCCACGAAAAACATCTAGCAACTAATGACCAAACGATGGCAAAGTTTGTTAGAATAACCAATAACAAATTTTTAACATATTCAATTTAATAACCAATTATTGATTATTCCTAATAGTCATAGTTAATACATACAAAGTTTTCCATTTTTTTTTGTAAATAATGGCAAGGATAGATTTTTGTTGAATTCAGCAAAGTATTTTTTTACATGTGCTTTGTTTAAGTTACACGTGTGTTAAAAGTATTAATTTTTAAACTTAATATTTCGATTTCGGTACGCGGCCACTTATTCTTAATTTATTGACTTGGCTACGGGCTTATGTCATTAAGTCTTAAAGTTATGCAAACAATGCCGCCGGCATTTGTGTAACACGAATAATAACCTTAAAATTTTAGTGCTCACTATTAAACAGCTTACTTGAGTTCTAACAGTACATCAGTGGATTACTTCATAAGCACAACTTAAATTAAGCCTACGGCGAGAATGGTGCGTACAGAGCACGTGTAGACATGTGAACATTGACGAGCTCGTCATCGTACAGTGGCAGCAGTAACAGTAAATAATAGAGTGTGCAATACTGAAATGATGTTTAGTGTCGCCGAAGCTAGTGATGAGGTCAATATTCTCGGTATGGAATCCAATCACTATTGTTGTATAATCTACAAGATTTGGCAGTTTTTCATCAGGTCTCTCTATCTCATATGCCATAGCAGGATAATACTTGTCTTTGGTTTACTCTTTGTCGTCTGGCAGAGCTACAACAGTAAGTACACTTGTTTATATGCAGATTTGTAACATATTACGTACTCGTATTTGTACCCAATCACGTACAGTTATATACCTATATTTGTGAATAAACAGATATACATCTTTAACTCCCAACAATAGGTTAGAATATTTCAAATTCTCTTTTCATGCATTTAAATGATTTGAAATCTTTATTTTTAGATTTTGAGGCCCAAAAAGAATTATACCGCTTGGCAAGAGAGTCCCTGGAAGCGATAAGGGCAGACTTGATTACTCTTAAAAACATACATGAACCACTGTATGTGCATGTACCTCCCAGTGCCGAAACATGCTCTTGTGCCTCAGAGTACAACAAAATAGGAAACGTTTCAAGCGACTACCCTACCATTTATACAATAACACCTACCTTTGCGAGGCCTCTGCAGAAAGCTGAGCTCACCAGGATATCTCAAACATTTTTGCTTGCTCCTAATTTTCATTGGATCGTAGTAGAAGACTCTCCGAATAAAACTTCGCTGGTGACGAATTTTCTTGCTCAGAGTGGTCTTAATTACACTCATCTGTATGCGCCTACGCCATCAAAGCATAAACCTGGCAAAAATGAGCCGAAGTGGAAGCATCCAAGGGGAGTTGAGCAACGAAATGTAGCTCTCAGGTGGATCAGGGCTAATCTTAACGAGAGACACAACGGTGTTATTTACTTTGCGGATGATGATAACACGTACTCTCGTCATCTATTCCAAGAGGTGGGATTAACTATTTAAATTGAATTAGTAATTCCAAAAGAATTAGCCACTTTGTGGCTAACTGTTAATGCAAATTTGTAACAATAATTTATTTGCAGATAAGGAAAGTAAAAAGAGTTGGTATCTGGCCAGTTGGTCTGGTTGGCGGTCTCATGGTTGAAGGGCCTATATGTGACAAAGTTACCAAAAAAGTGACAGGTTTTAAAACGGCATGGGCAACAAATAGGCCATTTCCCATTGATATGGCTGGTTTTGCAATTAACTTACAGGTAATTTTAGAGAAAAAGAATGCCGAGTTCTCATACAAGACTCTAAATGGCCTTCACGAAAACCATATTCTCCGGCAAGTCACAACCAGGGAGGAATTAGAGGGTTTGGCTAATGGTTGTACGAAGGTAAGAACTTTCACTTGAACTGATTTATTTTCGGTTTATACCAGTAGAGAGTTTCTATATACTACCTAAGAAGTAATAAGACTCATATCAAGTTAAATAATGTGATAACAAAAAAAAATTTATGTATGGTATTGAAAAAAAAATCTATGGTTTGTGAACTTTTTCAGAATTCACATGTAAATTTTTTTCAACGGTTAGATTCTTTAATCTAGTATAATGTTTTATGCACAGGTGTATGTCTGGCACACGCAAACAAGTACACCCGATTTACATGCGGAAAAAAAATTGGAAAAACAAGGGAAATCAACGAATTCCGTTATTGAAGTGTAATGAAGATGATCATTTTTGTCTCTTTGCCGAATCAAATATCATAGCTTACCCGCACTGTCAGTGTCATACTTTAAATATTTTTTCCAAAACACACTCGTCAAAATAAAACACACTTTGTTGAGACTTGTACCGCTTAAAATGTCAATGTTTTGGACAAAAAAATGAGCATTACCATGAAACATGGGTCTAAGGGTGCAAGTGTTTAGTCGTCAAGTGATAAGACTGTGATAACGTGCATCACAAGAATGTTGTACTCTGTTTTGTATTTTTTTATTTTTTCTAGCCCATTTATTTATTGGGTTCTCATTTAGGTAACCGTTCTAAAGACTGTAAATATATGTAATATACCATCGAATGTTGGTAAGAATAGCTAAACAGTCTGATCTTGGTGATAAATTAGTTAAAACCTTATCCACATTGCATCGGAATCGGATTAGTTGATTATATGTATTTAACACTTGAAACGTTATAATTTGTGTACGTAGTAAACAATTGAATTGAAGTTTTTTTTTTTTTTTGAATTGAATTGAATTTATTATTAAAGAGCTAAGAGCAGAGCGCTCTTTATAGCTCGGCTCGTTACATATGATTTAATACAATTNCTTTTAAAAGCATGTGACTGGTGACTTGAAAATTTTATAAAAATTTATTAGCAAAATTTCAAAACAGTCCAAAAAATTTGTCACGTGTGATCTTGATTTTTCTTGCTCATCACACTATTTTGATCTGCTAGAAACACAACAGGAGTTAGCTTTACTAAGGTTGAGACGTATCTGATTTAGTACATACATATAAGTTAGCGAAAAGAAAAGGTAGTGAAAATATACAATTTTACATACATACACAAATAAGTTGCTGTTTATAGTTGATTAAGCTCTAAGAGTTTCGAATCCAAGAACAATCCGATAAGAAAGCTGAAAAATTAAAAATATTGTTGTTATTAAATAGAAATAACAGAAAGTTGCTGTAGCAATAAAATCAACTAAATTTACCTTATTAATTTAATTATTGATATCAAAAAAACTACCAGTAAAATTACAAAGCATTAACATTTCACGTTTAGCTTAAAGACGTAGTAAGATCATTTCAAAAGATGAAAAAAGAAAAAATTTTCATTTTATACTTAGACAACATACGGAGTAATTTTTTAAAGATTACTTCTGCAACGATATTCAAATGAGTATCGTTTGCATAATCTCAAAGGCCTGATATCTCGATCGCATTGGAATATCCATACTACGTTACACGCTCGATTGACATTCCCCTCAGCACACGTTCTGTCAAACGATGTATGCGTACTCGGATTAGATCTCGAGGCAAATTTACCCACCGCGTGAATTAAAAGAACGACCGATCTCTTACAACCTCGAGCCCTCTCTTTGTTTACTCGAGTCGTAAAGAATTGCTCCCCGACAGGAGATAGAGACCGCACTGCGATTGAAAGCTTGCCTTCGCGATATTTAATGCGTTTAGCAAGAGTATAACGCATACACACAATTGGGGCCCGCCCTGGAATGCTTGTCACTATCTCCTGTAATTCTTACGGGCCATTACTTTGCGAAATCTCGCGAGGTGAACGCTGATTTATAGTGCAGCGGCAACATATTAAATTTATGCTGATAAGGCTCGACGCGCGGAGTGATTTAAGCTCAGCGTTGGGTTAATTTTACGGCCTCGTTTACGGTCGTTTGCTCTCGAGTACCCGTTCCTTGGATTGTCAATTGACAATTGCGTTGGAATTGATTTTAAAAAATATTTTGCGACTCTCCGATTGAATCGTCACCTAAAAGCCATCGAGTGCACAATGGCTCCAGCCCAGGTGCTCGACGTTTACAGCTGCTATGAGACATTCGTTATTTTGTAAATGTAGCTCAGTAACATCAACCCAATAACCACCCGTTCCCATCGAAGCGTACATCCGACTGTCGTTCAGTGTGTAGAGCCAATTCAGCTACGTGTGCCAAATATCGGATGAAGCTCGAAAAAAAGGAGGAAAAAACATAGATGAGACAACAGAAGGAGGGAAGGGAGGATGGCAGGAAGAGATAAAACGTATTATCAAACAAACAAAGTGCCTCGTAAAAGTCATGACAATAATTTCGCATACGCGAAGCGGCGTCCGATCGATGGGGACCCCATCTAATTCGTAGTAAGCCCTCGTTCTGGTGGGAATGGCCACTCTCGGTCCCGATAAGCGTCTGTGAAAACAGGGACGGACAGACAACCACTGGTCCCGAAAACACACCTTCGAAGAGCCATTTTGATCGCGTATCGGTGTATCGACCTGCTGCCATAGGTTGCGTATTGTACCTACACCTACGTTTCGAGATTCAGGACAGACGTAGCATGGGGGGAGAGAGAAAGCCAAAAAGGAACACAATAAAAATGAGGGGGCCGTGGCTATACGTCGTGTAGGAGGGTACCGAACAGCGGTCTGGGGGTGCAGCCGGCAGGATTTATTCGGCGAGACCCTTTACTTCTGCGCCATGTTCCCGCCAAAGACTCTCGGCCTTCGACGCACACCGGAATGGAAGAAGGAAACAAAAAAACAAAAAAAGATTCCCCCTGCACACAAACGTACATTATCTCTTGCACCGTGGGATGTATACATTACACATACGGTGCGTGCCGCGAGAATGCCGAAAATACTTTTCGCGGGGCGTGCGAGTGTGTGCGCTATATCAACATTCCGCGGACTGCTCGTGCGCTTGTCTCGTTTCTGTGGCTTTTGAAATCTGGAGGAATAATTTAATTTGGGGGAACGAAAAGGAGGATGGGATGAGAAACGCTAAAAGCGCGCCTGTGTTGCCGAGCGAAAAGCAGCGGAACGTATATTATGTACTCCGGGAGAAAGATGGGACGGGGGGACTCAATAGATTTCTATGAATAAGAAAGAAAGGCACTGTCGGTGCCGCTGCTGCTGTTCCTTTTTGTGATGGGCTTGTTTCGGAAATATATTTTTTTTTCCTTCTCCCTAATGAATCTCGCCTCTGCTAATGAATCGAAAGTTATTCAATGGAGGCTCGTTCGTCACGTATACGAATGGGACGATGTGTTATTCCATTATTAATTTTAGGAAAAATTTCGGTTCTTTCATCGCTGGGATCACGCCTACGTGAGGCAATAAATATTTTTTTTTTTTTATTTCACAATTTACGGATCACGATGTAGTACACGCTACCAAAAAATGATTTGTCATTCCGCGCAGTGTCGTGGCAAACCTGTACGAATAAATCACTCGTCGAAATAATATAACCTCGAGATCGACGAATTTACGGAAGATAAAACACCAGTCTTCGTTTGGCAATGCTGACGCATTTCTGCATCGAGACGTACACGTCTGCGAATAGAGTATTTTTCTTCTCGAGTGCGAGAACGAGCTTCATTCGTTCACGCGATCCGGACTGAATGCTAACCACACGAAAAACGAGTATACCAAATTTCAGACCAGTTGCTGGGATCACCACTCGTTGTGGTAAAAAAAATGGAAGAAGCACTTCCTTACTGTGATTAGATGTCTTTAGAGATCCCGCGGGGCTTTTCGGTTTTTGTTACAAGACAAAAAGAGGAAGATGATAATTGGTGCGATAGAAAACTTCCCTCAGAAATATTTTCCGATGATGTTTGAGTCATCTAAAAAACTTGTTTTTCTTCGGGGAGATACTGTCTCCAAAAAACTTTCATCAAATCCAAAAACAGCGATGACTCACGAGCAACACGGCCAGCCCGACAGAATAGCTTTTTTCTCCCAAAAGAGCTTATACAAACAAAAGACATCCAACCACGCGCTGCCGCATCTCTAATCAAGAACCACTGAACAGGGAACAAAAAAAAATTAAAAAAAGGAAGCAAGTCCTCTGGCTCGTTTCGCTCTCCAGTCTCGGCTCTTAGCATTCGTATCGCGACGTCCACGTGGCATTTAGCAATAACTTTGCCCAGTTGGATCGAGGAAATCCGACGAAGAGAGCCCGTCTGCTCTCACATTTGCTGGCGCGTGAATCAACGCAATATTGGAATGAGAAATTTCCTCCGCTACGAAAAAAGACAAAAAAAACAGAGTGAGAAACGTCCAGCAGCTGCGAGAGGAGCTCTGCGTACGCGGTGCACATTCGCACGCCGTCCGGGCAATTTAATAAATAAGTAAGACCTCGAGGGCGCGAGCGGTGACCCACGTGGAGATGCGTATCTTGTCGCTGGCCGGGGAGAAGATTGATCGGCCTGCGAAAATCCCAGATGGAGAGCGAGGCGATAAGGTTTGACGGCGCGGTCGCCAAAACGTGCCATCGGGGGTGGCCGGAGGTACGAAAACGTTTTTGCATGGGAGCCAAATAAAGAAGCGAGACTAATGGCTCCGAGGGTGGGAGAGAGTTGATATTATGCAAAATTGTATCTTTCACAACCAGCTAGCTCGGAAGCGGGTGTACTGTGCACAAAAAAACAGGCCAAACGATACAGGAGACGTATACAAAGGCTTCAAATTTTGTTTGGCCATGGTGGTAACGTTGTTTCACAGGCTGACAGGTTTACATTGTCAGCGTCGCTGGTCGATGAAAGGCACGCTCTCCCGAAAGCTGAAAGGCCACACGAGAAGTTATACCTACGCACCGTATATGTAGGTGCACGAGGAGCCAGCTAAATAAACCGCGCAGTATACGAGGCGCGTGCACCGAGAATTCAATTCATACGCGAAGTGAGGAATACACCTGAAGCACGTGACCCTCGCTTCCCCCCAAATTCATGTGGGAATATCGCTCCTGGTCATGATCATTGCTTTGCGATCGCTTTGTTGGCGTGTAAATGTACTTCGTGTGTTTTTAGAGAAATACAGATGATGTTAGAATGCGTGGAAGGAGGCTTGGAGGATGGAAGAAAAGTGCGCCTATGCAGGAGAAACGAGGGAGCACTTTACAAGGGGTAGAAAGTGTCATAAAAAATTTCACTTTTTTACCAACGGGCCATCGAGCGAGAGAAACGGAGAGCGAGGAAGCTTTCCGTGGCTTTTTTTTTCTCCCCACCACCATCGACGTGTTTCGCTGGCGACAAAAGTCACCGAGGACGAGTTTGACCAATATTTATTGTTCCCCGGTTTTTTTTTTCGCTCGACGCGGAAAAGGCTTTCACTTTAGGTGGAAAAGCTACGACGCGTTTTCCAGTTCCTTCGCTTGCTAGCAGTCTTTGAGTCGACC